ATGAGGGTGGCGGCGATGGTGGTGAGGCGGTGGGGGTGTGGTGCGACAGTGACAGTGGTGGTAGGGCTGCGACAATAGTGATGGTAGTGGTGTTGGGGTGGCAATAACGATGATGGTAGTGACAGTGATAATGGGGGTGGTGGGGGTGACAGTAATTGTGGTGGTGGTGGGGCGGAGAGACGGTTTTACACACTACTTTTTTTTAAAAAAAATATTTATAAGAAGTCATAAGTTTTAAAAATATTTTTTAAAAATCATTCTAAACACATTCTAATAATTTATTTTACCTATTAAATTTAGGGTGTTAATATGAGTCATCGAATAAACTTTAAAGTAAAATTTAAAGAAATGTTAACCGCTAAAATCAAAAATCATTTTGTTTATCTTTTAAAATTTAAATTATATTGTACTTGATTGTATAGATATTTTTTCTATTCTTCCATTTTTTTATTATACCAAACATAAAAAAATTAATTTTTATTTTCCATCTTTCCTACCAAACATAAAAGACAAAAAAAAAAAAAATTTCTGTTGAAAGATTAAAAATATATAATTCTTACTATTTCATCTTTCCATAGTTTCATCCATTCAATTAAATGCACTATTAGAGCGGTCCGAATAGATAACTGACCACCACCTTGAACTAGTGCGCAGACCCACAATAATTTAGTATTGGAACAGGACATTACCTAAGACTCAAACCCAAAACCTGTTGACTTTGTCACCTCCCTAACCTATTTTTCCTTTCTTTTTTTCGAACTGGCCCTCTAGAAGTTTGAAACATATAACATTACCTACCGATGATTGCGGCCAGAAAAATCAAAATCAAATCAAAATAATTCTGAGACTAATTTGGTGGATCCTTTGAAAACAGTGTTCAGATCAGAGCCGCACATGATGTATGTTGGTGTATGAATATGATAGATTGAGTCAAAGTCAACAGGTTTTATGTTCTTGTTGGGAGAATAATTAATATTATAGCATTTGATTTGAAACGTTACCGCGTCAAACACAGAAATGGACAAAACTGCTTTTATAAATTATCCCTAGTCTGGACAAACCCACTCTTGGGTTGCGTGTACGTCTCTCTCTCTCTAAATTTGTAGTGATCATTCGTTTTCCTTTTTGGCCATGAACCCGTGCAGCTCAGCTTTTCTTCTTTCTTAAGAGCTGCCAAGAACTGTATGATATCAGAACAATATTGCTATTACTACTAGGTCAATACAGATATTATTATTATTGAAATTGAATGATGAATTAGGTTATATTATCAAAAAATCTTTCTCAATAACAATTATAGATAATCAATTGATTTATTTGTAGCCATCGACTAAAAAAATAAATAAATAAAGTGAACTAACAAGATCAAAAAATTTTACATCTTTTACATTCTCGTTAATTGAGAAAAAAGTAATGATAGATAAACTTAAAAATTAAACTTAAAAATCAGACTTGATAATCTCAACCATTGAATAAGTAGTGGGTTCCAATAAATGCTGGGACTTACAGTGAAATCAATGGTTGAAATTATCAAGTCTGATTTTTAAGTTTAATTTTTAAATTCATGTAGCATTGCTCTTGAGAAAAAAAAGTTATAGTATCATAGTCAGACCCACCCATGTATGGTTTGAGTACCAATTCTCTTCCACATTACAAAAGTTGTTTTGGGTATAGGGTAGTCAAGTCAATATGTATATAGATTGTTTTTGCATAGGGTGCTCTTGTTACCTACTCTATACTAATATATATACATACAAATGGTTTGTTTATAGAGGTAATGGGAATGTCAAAGAGTTGGGTGGCAGGGAAAATCGATGCATTAGCTGACTATTGTTGTTGGGAGTGGGGGGATCAAAACAAAGGACTGGACTGTGACCGTAACTGAATTGGGTTCCACAAGAAAACTCGATCTGTGTGAAAGTGAAGCTAGCTGGATGGGTAAACAAACTCATCCTAATTTTGAATGCATTGTCCATTGGTGTGTACCTTCAAACCTCGTGTTAACCAGAATAACCATGTTTTTCCTTTGTTTCAAAGAGCAAAGGTTTTGTCTTGTGTTCTATATCATAACATTGGAACTCTCGGCTGTCTTTGGTGCAATGACAAGATTGTCCTCTTATAACCGAGAATCACAGGTTATAATCATAAAAATAGTCTAACGGCACGAAGGATGATTAAACTTACATTTAATTCCTCTCACTTCTTGTACGAACGAGAGAAGAACCAGAAATATGTTGTTTTGATTTGCAACATTTTCTACAAACCCATTAATCTCAGAATCGACCATACATCATCTACATGTGAAACGGACTTGTTTCTGGTCAAATTCAACTGTCAACACGGAGTTTGAAACCCTAGAAAGGTCCCAGTTAGAACACAATAACAAGTCAAACATATCAGCAGGGCCCTCCTCCGCCTGCATGTGATGTCTTCGTGCATATGCCAGTGGATTTCCCTTGTTTTTTAATCTATTCTGGCAGTGAAAGCAGAAGTCAAGCATGGGTTCGAAGTTTGAACTGAATAATAATAAGTTAATTTTCTATGTATTTTGGCTTGCTTAGAACAAGTCATGAACCCAAAATTTCGAGAACCACACAAGTGTAATACCATACCACAAAGATTCTATACAGTAGATACTTCTAAGTGTATTATTTTTTTAAAAGGATTATTACCATCATGATATTTATGTAATCGGTCATGGTGGAATTCTTATGCTGGCCAATACGACCAACTAAATGAGCCAGTGTGTGGTAGAAATTCCAGGAGTCTTTCGATTTTGTCAAATTTTCCTTGCTCTACGAGAACACAAAAGTGCTGCGTCACCAACTTTTTTGAGTCAGAATCTAACTTAATAACTTATAAAAGATAATCTCAATGCTTAGCTTAAGTGATAATATGAATAAGCTATAAATCAAGACATCTTGAGTTTAAATCTTAATAATTCCTTAGGAATAAGTCATAAAAAATTTATTTCTCATGAATAACTTAATTTTGGTGTGAATAATCCACTTTTAATCAAATCGAAGAGGAGATTAGTTAAAATGTACGTAAACTGACTGAACACCCCTGATCATTGAACTGAAAAAAAAAAAAAAAAACCACTTCTAGCAGATGATAGTTCAATAGTTAGGTTCCTAAATGCCAAACATACCAAACTAAATTCCTAAAAAAAAACCTTTATTTTTTGGAATCTAAGACTAAATCTAAAAATTTTGCAAACCATGAGATGTCCATCTCCAAATTTCCTATTCTGAGTAAGAAATAAGACCAATGGCTTGGAATCAGCTATCATTTTAGTTATGACAGAACTGCTAAATTGAAAAGAGTCATTTATCCCTTTAAGGTCGGGTCAGAAAAAAATTATTCTTTATAAATTTTTTAGTCCTAGTGTAGATGACTTGCTTTTAACTAGACGAAGAAAAAATTAGTTGAAATACGCGTAAATTGGTGCGGACACCCCTGATTATTTAAAAAAAGAAAAAGAAAAAAGAGTCATCCTTCCGGACTATCAGTGAATAAAGGGCCACCACACAGAGCCCACCATACAGCCAAAATTATAACAAATTTCAACAATCATAATTTTACAGCTGAAGTCCTAACAAACTACTTGTACATCAAAACCGGTCCAAGTACTGCGAGTTTTTCTTACAAAATTTGGAGCCAAAAGCTCAAATGTGTGAGAACATTCTAATACTTCTTTCATTAATGTATGTTCTATCCCAAAACAAAGGATGATTCATCCAAAAAGATAAATAAGAGAGATCCGGACCATATTCTTGACCGGAAAAGGCGAACTCCACCCCCACTTACCTGGTGCAGTGCAAGTTTATCTCACGACTCTTTGGCAGCAGTGGCTTGCCGGAGTCTGCGTTGATGAACATCCCAGTTGTACACACGAGCAATTGTGACCTGATCAATAGCACTTATATACTCAACGCCAACTTATTTTGAAAGTAAATACCATACAAAAGTAGTGGGTGCTCTAATAGGTTTATATATTTTGGGACTCAACATGGTCCTCAAAATCAATAGCTATGATTATAGCCAAAAAAGTGAAATATTGATGGCCTGTTGACCCATGGTACCATACACATCAACTACATTGGGCTATTAACATTTCAGCCGTCTCTGAGCAGATTAAGGCTAAAGTGAACTGCAAGCTAGTAGACATGAGAACAAAATTGAACATTTCTATTAAGGACTTCT